CTGAAAGCCACTTAATGTTGTTGTTGTGAGATCTAGATATACCACTTAATGTGGTATATATATAAATCAAATAAGAGAACAATCGATGAAGCGAAAAATAGAACGAGAAAAATCACACCAGAAAAGAACAATACAGCGGAACACACAGATTTACGTGCTTCGGCAAATTGCCTACCTTCACGGAGTTGCATAGGATTTTATTACTTGAGGAATTTACATCTACCTTCACGGAGTTGCATAGGATTTTACTACTTGAGGAATTTACACCAGTCGATCACCTCGACTTACAAGAGGAATCTCTCACGCTTCGTTGCTCTCTCTCTCTTCTTCTCTCTCCGTTCTTCTCTCTCTATACTGAGATACACCAAAGAAAATTCTACACCGAGCTACACCGAAAAAGACAAACTTACAAGAGACATAAACTCAATTTCTCTTCTGCCACAAGCCACCAAGAAGAAGCATAGAGAGAACAATCTTCTTCTTCCTTCTGTCGCAAGGAACTGCTCCTCCTTGCACTTCTCTTCCTCTGCCCCTAGGAAACCTTCTTCTATCTTGAGGAAACAGTAAAAGAACTCAAAGCGTGACTTCTAAACTCATGGAGAGTCATCTGAAGCTTTTATCACGAACAGGAGGGAGCGAAGAGATGCTTCACTTCACAAAAGAGGAATGCGGGAGTGATTATTTGTGAAGAGGTGTGACTCGCTAAAGCAAAGTAACGCGCCAAGCATAGTGGACCAGGCTCTACCATTTCTAACAATTCTCCCACTTGGAGACCGGTACACAGGCTGCAACATCTCCTTCCTCGAACTGATATCCTCCACTGGCGGTGTCGCTCTTTTTTTCTTCAACATGAATCCTCCACCTCTACAACAAAGCCCTGTCTTCACTCCAGAAGACCAACTGAAGCTGTGCACAATTTCAATTTCTTAAGAGTAACACCCTCAGTCAACATATCAAAAGGCTTCACATAGCTTTGCACCTCCAAGTTATTTCATAGGTCACTCTTGTTTCTTTTTACAACTCCCACTGTACGGGCAACATCATGTCTCTGCTAAAAGCCTTTTTCAACAAGTCTAGCCTTGTACCTCTTACTGACATCACGTTCAGTCTTCACCTGGTACACTCACTTGATGTGCAACACCTCTTTCCTGGTGGAAGTTCTACCAGCTCCCGCTTGCTCAAACTTTCATCTTGCAAGATTTCTTCGTAGTTTTGTGGTTCTTCAATAGAACTATGAACTGCCAGCAGTAGTGCATCTTGTGATTTTTCAGATACCACATATGCGCTATCATTCTCCATCTTCTTAGGATTCCTACAGTTCTTCCTTATGTCGTCAGTCTTGCCACAATTCCAACAAGTTGTCTGCTTACTAAACTTTGATTTTGATCTTCCTATACTTGAGTTCATGTCATGTCATCTCCCTCTGAAATCAAAATTAATTCAGTGTCGAGAACCTGAGACCTCGCCAGAACCTCGCCAGATTCTTTCCTGCGAACTTCATCAGCCAAAATCAAATCACGAGTATCATCGTATTTCAGTTTAAATTTACCTACAGAACTGCTAACTGATATCCTCATGACTTACCAACTACATGACAATGAAACCAATAAGATTAGTGCACATATCTCATCATCAAAATCAATTTTCACAGACAGAGACGATAATTGATTTGTGATAGCATTGAAAACATTCAGGTCTCGAACAACAGAAACACTTTTCGCTATCTTCAAATTGAATAACTTCTTCATCAAGTGCACCTTGTTATTCGTCGATGGCTTTTCATACATACCTGATAAAGCTGCCATGAGATCTACAGTCGTCCTTTCCTTGACGATGATGTGTGCAACGGACCTCGATTGGGTCAATCGAATAACCCTCAGAACTTGTCGATCCAACAAATTTCATTCAGCCTTATCCATCATTTCAGGTCTTTTCCCCAATAACGAAAGATGAAGTTTCTGCCCATAAAGATAATTCTTTATCTACATCTTCCAATAATCAAAATCTGTGTCATCAAATTTCTCGATTCTTGAAACCTTCACTTCATCTGCAGTCATCATTCTTCCTGAGATTCGAACAAGGCTCTGATACCAGTTGTTATTGTTGGGAGATCTAGATATACCAGTTGATGCGGTATATATATAAATCAAACATGAGAACGATCAACGAAACAAAAAATAGAACGAGAAAATTTATACTAGAAAAGAACAACACAGCGGAACACACAAATTTACGTGGTTCGGCAAATTGCCTATGTCAACGGAGTTACAGAGGATTTTACTACTTGAGAAATTTAACGGAGTTACAGAGGATTTTACCACTTGAGGAATTTACATCAGTCGATCACCTCGACTTACAAGAGGAATCTCTCACTCTTCGTTGCTCTCTCTCTCGCTTCTTCTCTATCTGTTCTTCTCACTTTATACACTGAGATACACCGAAAAAGACAAACTTACAAGAGAAATAAACATAATTTCTCTTCTGCCACAAGCCACCAAGAAGAAGCATAGGGAGACCAATCTTCTTCTTCTTCCTTTTTCTTCCTTCTGCTGCAAGGAACTGCTCCTCCTTGCACTTCTCTTCCTCTTCCCCGAGGAAACTTTCCTCTATCCCTAGGAAACCGAAGAACTCAAAGCGTGACTTCTAAATCCAAGGAGAGTCATCTGAAGCTTTTATCACGAACAGGAGGGAGCAAAGAGATGCTTCACTTCACAAAACAGAAAGGCGGGAATGGTTATTTGTAAAGAGGTGTGACTCTCCAAAGCAAAGTAACCGCCCAAACATATTGGACCGGGGTCCACCGTTTCGAACACGTAAAACTCTAACTAATCATCAATGATTAAGAAGAATAATTAGACGTCTATTTCTTCTTCTTTATGGGAAGAAATGAAGAAGAAGAAATGAAATGAGATTCCATTTTTTTATACATTTAAGTTGAAAGATATTATTATAATATCCATAGTTGAAGTCCTGCTACTGTCCACCTTTAAATAAAATAAAGATTTGTATGAAAAGAAACCGACTTTGATCATTGTTCTCAATTTGGTGGGTTTGGTGGAGAATCTATTTGTTGCGAAAACTATTCTTTAATGTGAATTCTTAACATCAAAGCATGTTCAGATTCTGGAAATTTTAATTGAATTAGTTGGACGTGAGAATTAATATCTCAACATTGGGATGTAAACGAGCGGAGCATGTGCGAGCTCAGGCTTGGATCTTGTTCGGCACGTTCAAAATAGCCCGTGTTCGAAATCGGCTCGTGTTCGAAATTGGCTCATGAATAGTGTGTTCATGTTCGGCTAGATTTAAATATTTGTGTTCGTGTTCGGCTCGAAATTGACTTGGAAAAATTAAATTGAAAAAATAGATATAAAGATATAAAGTGTGAGAGATATAAAGTGTGAGATTCGAACCTGGACCAAATGTATACAAAAGAATGCACCAATCACATTACCACACAAGATGTTATGTTTTTAACTTATATATAAATATATATAATATATTATTATATAAATAATTATATATATTTTTAATTTTGAGCTTAAACGAGCCGAACATAGCGAACGAAGAGATGTTCTTGTTCGACTCGTTTATAATTCGAGCTTTAAATATTTGTTCGTGTTCAGCTCGTTTACTTAACGAACGAGTAGAACACAAACTACTTAACGAATCGAACACGAATTGTCCACGGACAACGAGTTTTTTTAACAGCCCTAATTGCAGGCGGCGAGGGCGGCCTCAAGGCTTTGTAAAGTTATATCTTCACTTTATTTACTCATTCAAAGTTGTCTTGGTATTATCATGTTGATGTGAAAGAGCTTATTACTGTTTGCATCATTTCACGTGATTAAATTGACGAAAAAACAGTTGATTGGTTTGAGGAATAATAAAATTTAATCTTTTCTTAAGCATAACATATAAAATCAATAAAAAAGTAAAATAAATATTAGTTATTTAATTAGTTGAGCTACAATAAGTCAAATAAGATTGAGCGAAAGTCTTTTCTTGTTCGGCTCATTTATAAATCAAGCTCAAAATAATTTTTTTTGTGATTGATTCGTTTTATTAACAAATGAATTGAATACAAGATAATTAATGATCTGAACACAATTGTTTGCCATCTAAGACCACGTGATTCTTGCACTTTCTAGTACTTACATATGTAGTGTGATGTTGTAGTTTTTCCTATAGCACTGGAAGCACCATATCCAAATTTGTAATTAGGTGTAGCTTGAGCTCCAACTTAGGTCTACGGTTTCAAGCGGGTTTATTTATTTAAAAAGAGATAAAAGAATATTAATTTAAACAAGTATTATAATTAAATAAGAAATAGAATTATTAGTATCTAGAAGATAAATATTAAAAAATTACTTCATATAAATTATAAAATATATTGATTAATGAAAAAGGTTATGCTTGCCACAAATTTTTTTTACAATTTATCCTTCGATCTGAACACAATTGTTTGCGAATGGCGAGTTTTTCTAAGACCACGTGATTCTTGCACTTTCTAGTACTTACATATGTAGTGTGATGTTGTAGTTTTTCCTATAGCACTGGAAGCACCATATACAAATTTGTAACCAAATTTGTAACTAGGTGTAGCTTGAGCTCCAACTTAGGTCTACGACGTCAAGCGGATTTGTTTATTTAAAAAGAGATGAAATAATATTAATTTAAGCAAATGTTATAATCAAATAAAAAATAAAATTAGTATCAAAAAAATAAATAATAAGAAATTACTTCATATAAATTATAAAATATATTGATTGATGAAAAAGGCTATGCTTGCCACAAATTTTTTTTACAATTTATCCTTTTCCATCTCTTTCAGAATAGCTAATTCATGGTGTTGCATCCAAGTATCATGTTGCATTCTGATCTGTCTGGTAGACCGTACCCAAAGAATAGAGCATAAGACCAAGGAATAGAGCGTGAGACTCAAGAAATAATGCACGACGTTACAAGTGGGGGAGCCCAAAAGCCTCTTTACATGAAAGGACATTCCTATGTATATATGATATGAAGGTCAAAAAGTAAAATACAATATTATCCTTAATTTTAAAGGGTTGTACTATATATTTTAGTGTTTTGTATTGATATGTTCTGCTAAAAGTCTTTCGTCAGTGGGAGGGGAGAAAAGTCCCTCATTTGATTCCGGCTTGGTGAAGACAAGAGTTTGGTCGATCGATTGAAGTGAGATGGCTGAGGGAGAGCTTGAGTTCAAAATCAGATTGACTCTCCGTACATGATGATCATTTTTATATATACACATCCATAATGAGGTGAATCCCGCTTAATCTCCGCCGCAATTCACGAACTCTCTGACTCTGTCAAACATAACCTCAATCCTCCCCGGCTCCACAATATCCGCACCATGAAATCCCCCTTCCTCTATCCTTACCACCACCTCTATCCCACCCCTCACAAGCATCTCCGCCACCTCCCTTTGCCGATTCACCAGCGGATCTCCGGCGAACCCAAGCATCAAACACCTCGGCAGCCCCTTCACCCGCTCCTCCCCCTTCTCCTTCATCGCCGCCCCCACATTGCAGTACTCGTGATCCCTATCCGCTCCTTCCGGCAACGCAAACTCCCACATCAAATCCGCCGCCGCTAACGGCAGGGGAGGCTCCACCCCCACCCACACCCCCCCTC